AAGTAGGAGAATGGACCGAAAAATCACCACGCAAACGAAAGATCTCATTTAAAAGCGAAGAGAAATGAAAGCCACGGCCGATCAGAAATCGATGTGTGAGTGTGAGCTAGAATCGGTGTAAGTTTCCAGAACGTTATGAAAATTGGTTCGAGCGTTCAACTGGAGATTGGTAATGGAAACTATTCCTGGCAGTCGAAGCAAAAAGAAATTAAAGCCGTCAAGGAAGCGAAAAATTTTATGTCTCAGAGCAGAAGATGGGCCTTTCAACAGGGACGGGGAAGAGGTTTTAAAGAAGGTAGAAGATTTTTCTAGAAAACCGTACAAAGATGAAAACAGTTGCACCATGGATGACGATGATAGACTTTACGATGTAGACGAAATGGATAAAATTCCAGATATCTTACAGGAAAAAGTTCGACATGCAATAAAATGGGCGAAGGGAGGGAAGGCTTCCTGAGAAGATGGCATTACAGTGCAATTCGTGGAATAAGGAGGTAAAACATTGATCAAGTGATTAGCAGGCTTGTTGTCACTCTATCAGAAGGAACTGGAAATTCCCGACGATTAGACTGCTATATCGGTGTTCTGCTCTACAAAAAGAAATAGGGAATACTTGAAGAATCACAGGCCAATCAGTTTGTTGTCAGTCATCTACAAGGTCATCACAAAGTTAGCGACGAACAGACTTAACGGTAAGCTGGAAACCAAATAGCCAAAGGAGCAAGTAGGATTCGGAAGTAGTTTAGCAAGATTAATCTTGTTCGGGTGATACAACAAGTAATTCACTCAATTTCGAGAAGGCTTTCGATGCAGCTAAATCCTTTTTACATAAGCAACGAATATCAGGTTTCTCATTGCCTGAGGTTAGTAGATTTCGAGATGCCTTTCAACTCAGTGTACATCTGTCTTGTACTGGATTCTTTAAGAAGCCAGGGAATGAAAAAGAGGTACAGAAATTTCATAGCCAGAAAGCAACTACTGTGTAAAGGATTATGAAAGCACAAGCAAGCTTATGATCAAAAAGGAAGACGAAATTTCACCGAAGTTATTCACACCAGCCCAAGACGTTTTCAAAAGACATTCTGTTTTTGGAAAATCAGAACTGAAGATAAATGGGCACTCTTAGTTTGTCGACGACATGCTGATCATCGTAAGGTCGCCAAAAGAACTCCAAAGAAGAATCTAATGACTTATCGATACAAGCATCAAAGTAGAACTGGAAATGGACTTGAAGAAGACTCAGATCTTTGACAAAAATATGTGACCCAGCGACTTACTGAAGTCAACGGACTTAATTTTGAAGAAGCGCAAAATGATATCTATTTGAGAAGCACGTCTCTGCATCGGCGAGCGAACATTGTGAAATCGGTGGAATGAACAAAAATATTATGAAGCACTTAAGAAGAATGAAAATGTCCCCATGTTCTGGGAAACCGCCCTTCTGCTTGAAAGGGAAGGTATTGGATCGGTATGTGCACTGAATACTAATATCTGGGTACAA